TTCCACTTATTTAAATGTCCTCCACACTTGGCGAAACAGTTTAAGCCGTTCGAACATCTACGCCTGGAACTATAGTTTAGTTGTTTCCGACCGGTCTATATTTTGTGACGAACTGTAATTATGGCGACCTTCATCACAGAGTCGTGAAACGCCTCATGATTTCTCCTAACTGCTTTAAACATGTTTTTGTGAGACTTTATTAAAATAGTCGCCATGGGTGTACTTAGACATGTTGTGTGCGCAATGTCTGGAGGGGTCGACAGTTCTGTCAGTGCACTGTTACTCAAACGAATGGGTAAGATTTCTATCATTTACACTTCTCTAAATTAACTGTTCTGTTAGCTAAGCAGATTAGAAACATAAAGATATTTCGTGGTATACTAGTACTACAGTAATATATTGTCACTTATTCATGAACATTTTAATTTATAATTTGTACTTATGATGTCGTATTTATATTATTATATTTTAGATGACACTAATATTTTATTATAACAGCAGAAATAAAGTATTCTTCTTAGTAATAAAGTAAACTTAAACCACACTTCTATATGGCTTACTATAGAGTCAACCATTATTTGAAAGTTAATGAAACAACTATCAAAGTATTGCAGAAATCTTGTAAAAATTATAATAATAATAAAGTTACAATAAGTTTGGGATATAAAATAATAAAATAATAATAGGTTTGAGATCAGTTTGGGTATTTAAAAGAAGCAATTTCCTCTCACCAAGGCTACATTTATTCGATAAAAAATAATAATAATAAATAAAAATAAATTGATAAATCATTAAATAATATAATGCACATTTTAAATAACAGTTTTCTCATTGAATGCGACACTGCATTCAATGAGAAAACTGTTAATTAATATTTGAATAATATTATTTCACAATTTATAAATTTATTTTAGATGTAACTTCCTGTGATTCAAAGCTGACTTTTCATTATCATTACTCCAGTCTTCAGTGTCACTTCAGAAATCATTATAATAGGATGCTGATAGATCTGCTGCTCTGTCATGTTCAGTTATTATTGGTACACACAATCACTAATAATGATTCTTAGGATTATCACTCATGAAACATCTTGGCTTGCTTAATAGTATCTTGGAAACTGAGATACATTTTACTTTTAGATTTTCTTAGGTCAGAAAATGACTAAATAATCACTATTTTTGGCAATCTTTTTATTTATGTTATATTTGTATTTTACTTTTGTACAATTTATTGTGAAGAATCAAAGAAGATACTTTTTAATGGTACTTTAAAATGGAAACTGACAACAACAACAACAGTAACAGTGTAATAATAATAATAATAATAGTAATAATGTAAAATAATAATCATAAGGATAACGTTAACCTTCTTTCTGTTAACAGTATCAAAAAAAAAATAATAATAGTAAAGGTTTCTTCTTGGGGGTGGGGGAGTTGGGGGGACGAAGGAATATTTGAAAATTTTTTGTCATATGTGACACTGAAGAATAGTCAAGCTTAAAATTCAGCTTTAAACCACAAGAATTAATTACATTTTAAATTACGTTTAATAACATTATTCAATATTAGTTATTAGTTAATATTAGTTATTTAATATTCTAATACCATTTTACAATTTCACTGTTTTACTGTGTTTTTATCAAATAAATGCAGCCTTTTTGAGTAGAATAAGCTTGAACTAAAACACATTAAATAAATAAAATAATTAAATATATCATAAATAAAATAAATTTAATATAATTTAATTTAACGAAAACTAATAAGAGTTTTGATTGTGGCCCATTCGGTTTAAAAGTTATAAAAATAAACAGAAGTAAAACTTTGGACAAGTGGTGGCACTAGAGAGTTTAAGTTTGAGACTTCAGGTTTGCTGTGGTTCGTGTTGATAATGTCTTCTATCATTGTGTCAAATTATACGCCTTTCCCCGCATATGGTTATATGGGCTGCGCATACACATGCAACATGGGTAGAACATGCAAACTCCACACAGAAATGGCAACTAACCCAGCCGAGGCTCAAACCAGCGATCTTCTTGCTGTGAGGCAATCGTGCTACCCACTGCGCCACCATGCCGCCAAATTCAATTATTCTATAAATAAAATAATATTTATGTATTTATAATTAGTATAGCAGTGCATGTAGTTTTCAGTATGCAGACAAACAGATTTTTTTTTTTTCAACTTAATATCATCATGCTGTCATAATGAAATGTGTATTATATTTCTGCCATCAGGTTATCATGTAACCGGTGTGTTCATGAAGAACTGGGACTCGCAGGAAGAAAAAGGGCTCTGTTCATCAGACAGAGACTGCGAAGATGCTTATAAAGTGTGTAAGATGCTGGATATCCCTTTTCACGAAGTCTCATATGTGAAAGAATACTGGCATGAAGTATTTAGGTAAATGCTACTGCACTAGTTGATTACATTACAAGTGTTGTGTACAGTTTGTTCATGTTCTCTTCGCTTGTTTTTTGCAGCAATCTTCTTTGGGAATATGAGAGAGGGAGAACACCTAATCCAGACATAATCTGTAACAAACACATCAAGTTTAAACACTTCTATCAGTATGCTGTTAATACTTTAGGTAAGTTAAGGAGGATTTATAGCAGCACTTCAAGGTTTTGTGTGATCACTTATTTTTTGTATATTTTAATAAGTAAAGGTCAGAATAAGGATGTTTTTTTTTTTTTTTTTTTAACAGTCTGTCTGTCAACCTGTATATTTGATGTATTAGTTTCTAATCAGTACTTTGAAACATTATAGTAAACTTTAGTAGTAAACATGACACTTTACATGAATTTAACATGCTTTCGTATGAAACAAATGACTTCACCATTGATCATTTCTCATCTATTGAACACTCATGCAAGCGCACAGTATAATAAAAATACATAAATAAAAATATAAAATGCAATCTAAATGTAAATATACATTTTAAGAACAATTTAAGAAATCAGAATTAACACTTTTATTCATCTTTTCATGTTGACAGTGCTAAAAAATGGCACAGTTCTTTGTTGTTGCTGCTGTAGCTGCCATACTTACATCACTGTCTTGTTTGGCAACAGGGGCTGATGCCATGGCAACGGGCCACTATGCCCGGACATCCCAGGAGGATGAGGAGGTTTTCCAACAGAAACTTACTGAAGCTCCCAAAAGCCTCTTCAGGGACCGGTTTGAAATTAGAAAGCGTAAGTCAGCGTGAAGACGCCTGCCCATATGATTTGTGTGACTGAAACTGTGTAGACCAGAGATGCATTGCGGATTTATGACCATCAAAACAAATGTATATCTAAATAATGTTTATGTATGTATGCATTAGTTAGTTAGTTCATTCATTAGTTCGTTCGTTCGTTCATTTATTAGGTTGATCGGTTGGTCGCTCGCTTGAATTCCCAGGTCGTATTTAATCTCAAAATCTAAAGGCAACAATAATAATCATAATTAATAGGAGTAAATACAATAATAATATATTGTTAAAAAATGTTAAAAATAAAAACAATTAAACCTATAATGAGATATTTACAGTGTAATTTTGTTTATATTTAGATTTATCATGCGTATTTAGCCTTAAAAAAAATAGTTGAAAGGGTTACATTAACAAAAGTCATGACCAGACACAAAATTTATTGGTAATTAATGGGTAAAATAATTGTTATATAATTAAAAGTTTTGTCACGATACATACTTAAAATTCTGACTTTTCCCTACTCAAAATAATAAAGAAAAAATAATGAGTTAAATTTTGAATTGTGAAAAGTTAGATTTTGAAGCACATATCATGACATGAGTTAAGTTTTTGAATATAAATAAATAACTGTCATGAAAATGTTGCTGTAAATATCTTACTATAGGTAAACCTTTTAAATAAAAGCTATTATTGTTAATTAATAACTTTATTATACATTTTTAAGAACTATTTTTAATCATTACCTTAAATATTATTTATTCATTCATTCATTGATAAAATAATTGTTAGATACAAACAAATGTAACTTCTGTCATGACGTGCTTACAATTCTGCCTTTTCCCTATTCAGAATAAAATTTCTCATTATTTTCTTTGATTTTTAGTGTGAAATATGGAAATGGGCATTAGCTGACAATTTTTGTGAAATTAAAATTTTATATATATATATACACACATTTTTTTGTTAATTTCTATTAGGGTTTTGTTTCAGAATTCATTTGACTCTTCTTACTCTTCTCCGTCTCATTAGCTGTGCGGCTTTATCAAGGTGCTGATCTGTTGAAGGACCAGACGTTCTTCTTAAGTCAGATCTCCCAGGATGCTTTGCGACACACATTATTTCCCCTGGCTGGACTAACCAAAGGGTATGTGAAGAAGATTGCAGCTGAGGCCGGCTTTCAGCATGTTCTTAAGAAAAAAGAGGTACAAACTGAATAAATAGCATGTTTTTAGATGTTGTACGCTAGATTTATCTAAGTGGTCTGTGTTTTAAATGTAACTTAATCAGCTGATTAATTGATAAGCAAGTGTTTTATGTAGACTTTGGCTGAAATCGTTCATGAAATCAATCGATTCTAAAATTGACAGCAGATGGCGCTGTACGCTTAACCAACAGCCTTACTTTGCTTGAATCCAATTTCTTACAAATACCACTTGAACCTAAAGTAATCAGTAATAAAGTTTAGAGAGGATTAAGCGAATTACAACAGTATTCATTTTGAGCTGTGTTTACATTAATCATGTAAAGCAAATTTACAGAAATCAGCCAAACAACGAAGCATACGTCCTCATGAGCATTTGAGTGTATGGTTAGAAAAACTAGCCTAGACCGCTGTGCGCTCTTAAACACTTGCCTAAACCACCGTCTGATGTTAAAAACTAGCCTAGAGCGGCATCTGCTTTTAAAGACTAGCCTAGACCACCTTCTGCTGTTAAAAACTAGCCTAGAGTGTTGTCTGCTGTTAAAAACTAGCCTAGAGTGTCACCTTCTGTTAAAGACTTGTCTAGAGCACTATCTACTGTTAAAAACTAGCCTAGAGCCCCTTCTGCTATTAAAAACTTGCCTAGAGTGTCACCTGATGTTAAAAACTAGCCTAGAGCACCTTCTGTGTGTTAAAAACTAGCCTAGAGCACCTTCTGTGTGTTAAAAACTAGCCTAGAGCACCTTCTGCTGTTAAAAACTAGCCTAGAGTGTCACCTGATGTTAAAAACTAGTCTAGAGCACTATCTACTGTTAAAAACCAGCCAAGAGCACCTTCTGTGTGTTAAAAACTAGCCTAGAGCACCTTCTGCTGTTAAAAAACTAGCCTAGAGTGTCGTCTACTGTTTAAAAATTAACCCAGAGTGACATCTGCTGTTTAAAACTATAGCTTAGAGCACCATCTACTGTTACAAAACAGTCTAGAGCACTATCTACTGTTAAAACCTAGTCTAGAGTTTCGTCTGCTGTTTAAAAAATGAGCCTAGTAACATCTGCTGTTAAAACTAGCCTAGAGCGACATCTGCTGTTAAAAACGAGTTTAGAGTGCAGTCTACCTTTAAAAACTACCCTGGAGCGCCATCTACTGTTGAAAGCTGAGCGAATATTAGAGAGAATATTAGCGATGCAGTTTGAAAACTGCAGAATCGAGTTCTTAAACATTTTTTTTTCACCACAGCACTAGTTTTATATGCTTTAAAACTAAAATATGATATTATTGCAGTTAATAACATTTTCTTTTTTTTCTCTCCTGAAAGAGCATGGGAATCTGTTTCATTGGAAAAAGAGATTTTGAGAACTTTATCCTGGAGGTATGTTGTTTGATTCAGCTTAAAGTTGTATGCATCTGGTATTTTCCTTATATATGGTACAAACTTGTCTTTTTTTTGCTATGAAAACTAGAAGAAATGTTAAATTAACTTTTATTATTCAGGGTTCCTGCAGATTATATATATATATATATATATATATATATATATATATATATATATATATATATATATATATATATATATATATATATTAGCGCTGTCAAAATTAACGCTTTAATGCATGCGATTAATTTTAAATAATTAACATGTTAAAAAAAATTAACGCAATTAACGCAGTTCAGGTTTTTTTTACTTCCTGTTGTGGTGGATGTGTGTCCAAAATGCAATAAATGTGGATAAGACCAAGGAAGCACTTTTTGAAGGCAAGTTCCAGTATAAAACAATTAGTTGCATCACAGGTTATCCAGAGTTTCATGCAATTTCGGATGTTTCATTTTTAACTTTCGACATCTGTTGTAAGTTGATACCGCATGGCGAACAGAAAGAAAATCCTCCGCATTTCGTGACTCGGTGTTCCTTTAAGGTAAGGTTCCTTTTAAGGCTACACGGTAGAATTTTAATAAGAGTATAATCTTAATCATATTAAAATCGGAGTATTGGTGTCTTATGTAAATGTACTCAGAACGTCTGGTGAAGTCGCGAGCTGTCAAAGACAGGGCATTACTCTGCCGTTCAGCATGCGCCCTCCAAGTTTAGCGTTTTTCCTCATTAAACGCAACGAAAGTGTATGCTTCGCGTTGTTGTGTCAGAATCCTTGTAAAATACAGTAATACTTTAGGACGCTTAGTTTAGGACGCTCAGCAAATTTGATGAACGTGATCATGCGTGTTGAATCTGAGGGGAGTCGCTCCAGTATGGAAGGCCGTTGGGGCCAAAACGTCTGCAGCGCGTTGTGTGTGTCTGTCTGTGTGTTTGTCTGTGTCAGGCCCGTTGAGGGGTGTCAGGGGTGGAGTGAGCGATGTATCTGAGTAGGGGCGAGAGGGGTGTGCAGTGTATTTAACAACCGGTTTGCAAGAAATTATCATTCATTTGCGGGCATTTGGGAGTCTCTGTGCACTTGCGGGATACTCCTAGTCTTAGCAACTGGATGAATGTAAAGGAGGATTAAGCAAAATTGTTTTTACTCTATAATTATTGTTCTCAACTCACAGCAATAAAACTTTACAATGAGTGCAACAGTTTGTATTCTATAATTTATTATTATAATTTTTCATTTTCCATATCTGCAATTCCTGTATTTTGGCATTTTTTTGCAGTCCACTTAGAATCCAACATGGAAATCAATGTTTTCTTTATTGGCATTGACTGTTTTGAAATTTAAATGTCATTAACATGCCTGTGTTTTAATTTCGGGAATAAATATGGCTGTCTAGCCAGGATCTTGATGGTTTATTGTGGGTATGTTGTTTACATGAAGAAATCTGTGTTACAAGTTAAACAAAAATTCTATTAAACAATTAGATTTTGAATTTAAATATTTTTTGTCTTGCGTTTACATTAATTTTACATTTAAATAGGCAAAATTACAAGTTTCAGTATTTTAAATGCGATTAATCGCGATTAATTTTTTTAAAAAGGTTCGATTAATTAGTTAATTTTTATAAGCGATTGACAGCACTAATATATATATATATATATATATATATATATATATATATATATATATATATATATATATATATATATATATGTATATATATATATATATATGAGCAATATCACACAAGTAGCAGTGCGAAATGGCTGTATATCAGCACTGGTGGTAGGCATGCTTTGGCAAGAGGCAGCAGTCTCTGTTGCTGTCGGTATTGTGACAGGTGCCAGGTGTCCCAGCGTTTACCCGGAGACTTTATGGAATAAAAAAAGAGACAGAAACTATTTTGCTCTTCCTATTGGCCTTTCTACGTTTTTCCCATGTGCTGTCGACTAAATACATGCCAGTCAAGGAGTAGGCGAATGGAAAAGAAAAAGACACTCAAACATTTATCGCAAAATAAAAGTTACTTTATTGAAATAAAATAATGATACAGTGGTAGCGTGACCGTCACACACTCGCTAGAACTGAACTGAGCTCCCATAAATTCATGCGTACATCTAAAAGGTAAAACAACCACAGAAATGGACATTTAAAGTGGACATTTAAGCGACTGTTACAATAACACAATAATTAACCTCAAAAAAAAAAAAAAACCCCAGGGCAATCACTACCAGACTGCTGTTGTGTTTGTGATAAGGAGGGATGAGGCTGAAACCAGCTTCTTATTGAGTCTAACCGGTCCACCTTAAAAACCGCAACGCTTCCGTTTTTCATCTTTTTATTCGCGATAAAGAAAACACTAAACAAAGGCTCCATCTTTTGGATCGACAACGCCAACCGTCTTTGGCCACATACGAGCTCTCTCAGAAATTGTAAATGTTTTAAAATAGACACTATTCTTACAAATAAACTGCATAGTTGCAATCTAAACAACTATATTCTCGACTAAAAAAAGCCTCAAAAGTTCATTTTGTTGTCTTATAACAGTAATATTTGTCAAACTGTAGCGTCTCTGCTTGTTGCTGGCTGTTTGTGGGTGGAGTAATACACAGTGAAGGGTGAAGAGGCCTTTGTGTCATGTTACTAGCAAAATATTGCATGGGTATCTGCCTATCAGAATCAAGAACCAGATAGAACTGTTGTATGTATGGGCATAGGTGGGCAAAGATTCATTTTTTTTTTTATCTAGATTAATCTTGGAATTAATCTAGATTGAAATGGCTCATTTGAATTCTGCCGAAGGCATTCAGAATGTGTGTGCTACCTTCTTTGAGAGCGGGTTTGTCAAGCCAATGGTGCATTAGACCAGGGGCTCATCTCCTCTTTACAAAATGCATCAGAAACTGCTTGAGAAACTTGTCTACTGTGATAATTGGTGATGAAAATAAATGATGTTCAATAAGATGTACTTGTGTTTACTAACTCTTTAATCAATTAAACATGAATTTTGAACTGTAAGCCTACATAAGCTTGAAACAGCGATTTTTGATCACCTTAATCTGACTAAAGTCATAACTGAACTAAACAGAAATAGAATTAAAGGTGCAGTAGGTGATCTTCCACAATGCTAACTGCTTAGCATAAATCTCTGAATCACAGTCCCTCACCTGCCGTTTAGAGATACGCCTCCTTAAACACGAGCACAGCAAAAGAACCCTCTCTCATGCATTAAAAGCAACAAGTGCTTGTCCGGTGGCGTGCAAGCCAAACTGAAATGCTTTTTTCAGAGTAAATATTTAGTGTTGCATGGTAAACAATATAGGGAGAGACTAGGCGGAACAGCGGTATTTTCTTGAGTTTTGTTGTTAAACTAATTCAAATATACATTATTGATGCTGTAAAAGTTTCCTTATGAAACTGAAAATAGCCTTATCAATCTTTCATCGGAAGATTTTAGTGGCTGAACAACACTACTGTGAAGATATTAACCCATTTGTTTCAGACACACTGTGAAAATTTCTTAGCTCTGTTAAACATCATTTGGGAAATATAAAAAAAAAATAAAAAATTTAAAATTCAAAGGGGACTAATAATTCTGACTTCAACTGTGTATATAAATAGTTCTAATATTATTATTTTCCTATTCTGTATGTTATTTATTACAGTACTTAGAACCCAGACCTGGAAATTTCGTCTCAATTGAAGATGGGAAAATCATGGGAAAGCATAAAGGTGAATATCTATTTCAGTCTTCATTTTTTGTTAGAAAGGATGACTGATTTTATTGTATGTTTACACACAGTTTACTGTATGTTTCACAGGGTGGTTCACATTAACACTGGGGCAGAGGGCTAGAATAGGAGGGCGGGCAGATGCCTGGTTTGTTGTGGATAAAGATGTTACTACTGCTGATGTCTTTGTGGTGAGTTATACGCAGTTTGGACGAAGTTATTAATTTAACTCAAATTATTTTGGTTTGTAAAATTTCGCCTACTTTTTTAGTGTCCGAGCACATTTCACCCGGCACTGTTTCGAGACACATTACAGACGGACCGTTTCCACTGGATCGCAGAAGAGCCGCCTGCTGAACTTGTTCACACTCAGATGATGGATTGTCACTTCTGTTTTAACAACCGCATGCCTTTAAGTAAGTCACTTTTTTAATAAATTATTGTTATTTTAGCCCATAATGTTATAAATCATGTATTGCTGTGTTGTTTTAGCACTGTTTTATGTATTGTTCATTATTCATATTTTTTTTATTGAATTTTAGTTTGTTTGTCTTTTTATAACTGTTTTTTCAATTCAATGAAATGATAGTTTCTTAAATTTGCACTACCAGTCAAAAGTTTGGAGTCAGTTTTTTTTTTCTTCTTTTTTTTAGGAACTTAATTCTGTTCATCAAGACCGATTTATTAAATGATAGTTTCTTAAATTTGCACTACCAGTCAAAAGTTTGGAGTCAGTTTTTTTTTCTTCTTCTTTTTTTTTTTAGGAACTTTATTCTGTTCATCAAGACGGATTTATTAAATGTAAAAAAAAAAAAAAAAAGTTTAACTGCTTTCTTATTGTATGTATTTCCCAAAGAACGTTTTACTCCAGTCATTAATGCTTTTATTACTGTTACATTATTAATAATAATATAATTATTATTATTATTATTAATATTAGAGTGATTTCTGAAGGATCATGTGACTGAAGAATGGAGTAATGAAGCTAAAAATTCATCTTTAAAATCACTGGAATAAATGATTAAAAAATAAAATAAAATAAATTAAAATAATATAAAATAAAATAAAACATTTAAAAATCGTACTGACCCCAAGTCTTTTTTCCAAAATTAAATACGTGCTCCTATACCTTTATATTAATTTTTACGATTTAGATTTTTATTAGTTTTATTTATATTTTACAAGACTGTCTCTTTATAGTATTTTCATATTAATTTAGTTTATAGTTTGTAAGTTTGCTATGTATCTTTTAATCATTTTTATTATTGTTTGTGAATTTCATACAATTTTTTTAGTTTTTAATTAAAAAATGTCAAGACTTTTTAAGCCTGTTATGTATATTAAATAAATGCCAAGTTATTAATTTAAAGGTTCAATGTATATTTTTTTATTTTTATAATAATAAAAAATGTGTAATTTTTTACTTTGTTTCATTTTGAGTTTTAATAGTTTTATTTTTATTTAACGCTCAGCGCCATGAACTTTACAAATGGCCCTTAATAGTATTTTCATTTTCATTTAGTTTGATGTTTGTCATTTTTTATTAGTGTTTTAGTGCATTTTATACTAATCAAATTAGTGAAGTTAAATTAAATTCTTAACGTTTTTGTATGTGTTCTAATATATTACTTTTTTACTCTTATATTAATTATTATTTTATGTTATATAGGGTTGAATTATAGTAATATAACAAGTATATTTTAGATTTTCTACTTTGTTCTTTTCTTGTTTAATATTTTTATATTTCTTTAACAAAACTGGCTATTTAATGTCATTTATAGTTTGTTGTTTGCTTCCTTGCTTAGTTTTTTGTTTGTCTTTTCATAATTTTCATTATGGTTTTATTGAATTTGATACTATTTAATTCAGTTAAATAAATCAAATTCAGTTGTTAAGACTTTTTTTCATATTAAATAAGTGTTCCAATATATTAATATTTATATTGAAGTATAGGAAAGCTTATTTATTCTGATTTCAGATGTTTTATTTAAATTCAAAATATTTGAAATTAATAACACTCATGACATCCATTTGGTAAAATGATTTGCCATAATTTAATCCGTGTTCTGTTAAATTCATATTTGTAATTTTACTCTTTCAGCATTATTAAAAGTTTTGAGGCTCTGTCTTGAACCATTCTAAAGTCAGCATCTCATTTCTTTCAGCTCCATGTACTGTAACCCTGAATTTAGACGGGTCAGTGTGGGTGATGGTGAAGGAGCCCATGAGAGGAATGGCAACTGGACAGGTAATCCAGGAAAATCAAGTCATTTATAAATCATTACCACTTTTAAACTAGAGCCTGAAATATTCTTTTTACTAGATTAATCAACTCCTTGTTAAATTAGCTTGCTAGTTTCAGTGTACATTCAGCCTCGTTTTTAATTCTTTAATTTGACATTTTTTATTTAGCTGTTTTATTATAATTTTTGTATTTGTCAACATTTATTTTAATTTTAGTTTTAGTTACCAAGCCATTTTTGAAAAGCCTTCTTGTGTTTTTTTGTTTGTTCCTTTTTTATTTACAATTTTATATTTGAAGCAGAACAAAATATTAATATACGATATTTTATGACATGGATGTTTTTGTCTATTATAGACTCAATGTTCTTTTTCATTTACTAATAAAAATACCACATTATTCACTTCATAAAAAAATATGAATGTCCTAACTGATGGTTATATTTATAATAATATTTATATATGATATTTTGATCAACCTTGACAATAAGATTTCATTAGTTAATATTAGTTAATGTGTTTTCTAACATGAATTAATAAAGAACAATACTTGTACAGCATTTATTAATGATAATTCAGTATTTTCTGATGCATTATTAATATCCAAATTCATTCTTGTTAACATTAATGCACATTATCTAACAATGGAGAACTTTATTACCATTAACTAAGATTAGCAAAGATTAATAAATGTATTGTTCATTGTTTATTTATACAATAACTAATACAACCTTATTGTACAGCATTAAAAAAACCTTTGTTTTAGGCTTAGAGAAACTTTTTTTCTTTCTTTTTTGACACAAGGGTTAAATTCACTTTCTTTTACTGTATGTAAAGAAAACTACACCTAGAACTAATCTGACCTTTCTTTCGTTAAATAATACTGAAGAAAACATCTGAAATCATTTTGTATATTATAATATATATACAGTTAAGTAAAATCATAAGATATTTAAATAAATGTAAGTCAAGCCAATGATTTTCCTATTACTTATTTTATAAAATGGTATTACACGGCTGTATGGAATACTCATTTCTGATTAGTCATTCGTGGAACTTAAAATTATTTTTACCGTCCACATTAATGTGTATCTGCTTGTCTGTAATGGCGCTTTGTTTGTACTGTTTTTGTCTGTTTGTCGCCATGTTGTGAACAGATAATGCATACCTATGCCTATGCTTTATTGAGCCAGTTTTGTGTCTGTCAGCTTTGCGTTTTTGACTTTTAGTGCCATCTTGTGACTGAATAATGCGCAGGTTAGTGTAACGGTAAAGGGCCACAAAACCCCCCTATCTCAGCAGGGTGTTTTCACACCTCTAGTTTAAACAAAAATCAGGTATGTGGGTGAGTTTAGCTTTGTTTAGATGGGAGTGCATAAATATGGGAGTTTCAGTTTGGGTACGCTCTGATTTTCACAAACACAGACGCAGGAGAGAAAGTCAGTGACTGTGTTTACATTGACATCAGTAATCGAATTATTTGCCAAATTATTAATTTGTCGACTTTAACTGCAGCTTGGCACTTTCACTTTCATTCCGGAACATTTTATGCATGGCCCCTGTGACAAACGAGATGTTGGATGCGAGGTACTTTAATACCTAGTTTTAATGGAATGTTTGATACCGCACGGCGAATGAGTGAAAAAAAAAACTAGCATTTCTTAGTAAATTAGATGCTCTTGGTAGGTAGTGTCAAAAAGCCGTGTGTTTATAGACTATCCTGTATTAAAATGCAGTGAAAATTCTAAACGATGGTAATAGTTTGATTAAGGTGTTTATATGTTTACACTCGGAGAGCAGCATTTACAGCAGATCTTTCAGGCCATAATATTGTAGTGATATTAACATACTGTAAACTTAGTAACTAAATCATTTAGACTAAGGTCTGTCTTTAAAAACTGAAGGAGTACTGCTGACGATACAAATTAACTCTGCCATCTGAATAAACAAAGAACAGTGATCGCTTACTTACCAAATCTGTAGAGACAGGACAATCAACACAAACTGGAGCTGACAACTTTGTTAAAAGGAGATGAGCGGCAAATCCGGATTTCACCATATCCAGATGTGAAAAGCTCTTAGGTTCCTAAAAAACCTAAAAAAATGTTCCTTAAAACATATTTCTGTCGCATGCACTGTAATCCACACGTGAGTCCAGCTGCGCTCTCATAGCATGAAGTGAAAACAAAGCCTTCGTTGAAGCACATTTATAAATGCCACACTGATGACCCATGTCTCCAAACAATTCTTATTCTTCCACTTGTTTTGGCAACACAAAGTGGCGTCTTTCTGCCATCTGAACACTGTAACAGGTAAAAACAGTCTTCGAAGCCATCATGCATATTAATGAAGTTGCACCTCAAACTCAATAGAGCGTGCTGATTTGTTTGAACCAGTCTTATACAACAGACTTCTTAATGCTCTTTATTCTGCGATTAAAAACCTCCGGGTCGTACTTTATCCTTCACTTAGCTAGCACTGTTTATATGTTTATATATTTATTTATAAATTATAAATAAGTCATTTCAGCTGAAATTTTAGCTTTGTGTTTTTACTTTAAAGAAAACTATAAACTACTGATTGGCTCTTCAGAAACAATAATGGCGGTTTGTCAATTAAACTGACTTCAATGTGTTCATTTTGCAGTTTGCTGTGTTGTATAAAGGAGACGAGTGTTTGGGCAGTGGGAAGATCATTCGTCTGGGACCCACAAAATTTGCTCTTCAGAAAGATCAAAGCAACACAAACTGCCTCCATAAAGACACCAACCAACAACATCCAGAGCCTCACAGCTGAAGCGCAAAACATCTCAGACGGCTTTGTGGTTTAAATGAAGCACTGTGGAAAGATGCTCTAATAGTTTATAGACATTTGGGGTGGGAGAAACTGCAGATACTTTAAAAGTTTGTGTGTACTACACTGTAAAAATATCTGTCTAATAACAGTTTCTGTATATTGTGATGTTCTTTTCGTTTATTTATGAATAATCTCTTCTCTGTCCACTTTTGATGCTGCAAATTCAACTCTACAGTTTAACAAAGTAACTTTTATTGACATTTTAGTAGTTTTAAATAATATAATGTGCAAGACGTAATATATAGTGAAAGAAGTAATAGCGTAATATACAACACCAACCTATAAAAAATTTTCATAAAAGCCACATTTTCAAACTTTTCATAGTTAGAAAGAATAAGTTCTCCTAATACAATTTAAAAGCATACATAAACTGGGGAAAGATAATTAAAAGTAGAATAAAAACAAGAGTAACAAAATACGAAAAACTGCTATTGTATGGAAATTTTTTACAGTGTATGTTTATGATTTTTTAAAATATTGTTGTAATTACAATTAAAGCCAAAATGATTTACAATCCTGTGAATTTTGTTATTATTTTTCAAATATTTTCCAAATTATGTTTAACAGACCAAGGAAATTTTTTACTTTATTTTCTATTTTATAGTTATTGACTTCTGGAGAAAGTCTTATTTCTTTTAGTTTGACTGGAAAAAAAAAGATTTAAATTTTTTTGTAAAACAATATTAAGGTCCATATTATTAGCCCCTATAATATATATATATATATATATATATATATATATATATATATATATATATATATATATATATATATATATATATATATATATAATTATTTTTTTTAATGAAAAAAATCTCTTTATTTAAGCAATACTTGGAAAATATTTTTTAAATAACTAAAATTCCACAGGGGCGTTGATCATTTAGACTTTCACTGTGTCTGGAAATTTGTTATTTATTGATTTTAGCGATATAAACAAATATATTTGTATTACTCTGTTTTCAGAACTGATGTAAATGGTTATAGTGCCTTTACTGTTCACCTCATTGTGATCTATGCAATATTTTAAACAAATATTGCGCTGTGTTCACGTTCTATTTAAGAACATTGTAAAGCGCTTATTTTTGCCAGTAGAGGGCGTGAGCGAATCGTTTAGGACTGTGCTGTTGCAGCTAAACACTCACCAGCAATTCCCATTAACAAAAGTTATGTTATACGAAGTTTTAGTTAAAAAAATAAAACAAAATAAATTTATCAGCTGGAGTATACCGTGCATAAATGAGTACACCCCTCAAATATCCATTTTTCAAATGTAAATTTTGTAATGCTTTTCAATATTATATTTGTGTATATGCATTAGATTAGTTAGTACTAAAGCCAGATCTGGAACAAATGTAACAAAAACTGAATATCACAATCCAAAAATATGTACAGCCAACTTTATAGGGGGAAAATATTAAATTAAAACATATAAAATAGGGGGGTGGCGCAGTAGGTAGTGCTGTCACCTCACAGCAAGAAGGTCGCTGGTTCGAGCCTTGGCAGGGTCAGTTGGCGTTTTTGTGTGGAGGTGCTCCTGTTTCCCCCAAAGTACAAAGATGTGTGGTACAGGTGAATTGGGTAGGCTACATTGTCTTAAGTGTATGAGTGTGTATGAATGTTTCCCAGAGATGGGTTGTAGCTGGAAGGGCATCCGCTGCGTAAAACATATGCTGGATAAGTTGGAGGTTCATTCCGCTGTGGTGACCCCAGATTAATAAAAGGACTAAGCCGAAAAGAAAATGAATGAATGAATATAAAATATAGGAAAAATCAAAAGAAACAAAATATAAAATTTAGTTGAACTTTTGTAGTTTTGTATTTTATTTGTTGCAATACTTCACTTGAATTTAAATGTAGTATTTTTGAATGAAATGAAAAATGAAAAACATTCGTTTTTAAAATGAAGTGTACTCATTTATGCTGAGGACTATATTAATAAAATAATAAAAGCTCTGATTAAGCTAAAGATTTTTTTTTTAATTAAAAGTGTTTTTCTTCAATGATTGTTCTCCAACTTAATTCAACAGTGTATTTGTGAAAATAAATATCACAGTTTCATATTTTAAGAGTAAATGTGTTTATTTTCTTGTTTTTTAGTTGCGGGACATCAGAAAACAGTGCTTATATTTTTCAAAGTAAACAAAGCAATAGCCTGTGAGATATTTAAGTAAATGTCATACAAAGAAAAATATTCTCTGATAGTATATTGTCTGTTAAAATATTTGCTTTTAATATTGCAGGCAATGGATAATGATTTTAAGATATACATTTTGCAATGATTGAAATACAGCCGACTTTAAAAAACGACAAAAAATGTTTGTGCCAATAGAGGGCGTGAGATAATTATTAATGACTTGTGCAAAACACATCAATTCAACAATTGCTATAAATGAACGAGAAAGAAACATATTTCAATTATATTTTATCAACAAATAAATAGATAATGCATTATTACCCTCTGATTAGGCTAAATCAAGATTTTAAAATGAAACCAACTGTTTTTATTTATATTTAAACAGTTGTGTAAATAAATAATATAAAGCGGAGTATGATATTAGTTTAGAAGAAAGGCTTGGTTTTTCGTATATCATGCGGTACATCGGAAATCAGCACTTCATGATAAGTAGAATTCAAAATGAATAAGGCAAACAATAAAAAATAACTAGTGTTTGGAAAAAGTAATATATAACAATCTTAAATCACCTAAAAAATTTAAAATAAAATAACTGAATTTGTGTTTGAGTAAGATAATAGGCATAATAACATTGTAATATATATTTTTTTTATTTTTTTTTACTTTTTTGGTTTGCCCGACACTGATAATTAATTACCATGTCTCATATAGTAGGCCTATGTTATGATAATTAATAAAAGCAAATGTAAATGTAATACAAGCAAAGTATTCTCTTATAGCCTATTATCCGTTTTTTTATTTTTATTTTTTTACTAATATGGTAACAGATAATAATTTTGACATGTGCAACAGAAATAGATGACTTAAAAAATGATGGGTGGTAATTATTTACTGTAAAATAAATTATACAATTAATAAATATGTTGTGTTTCCTTTTGCACCACACTTAGGCTATTTTAAATAGCTTATTTTAAACAGACGTTTCGCAAAACTTAGGGGGCTAGGAAACATTTAATTTTGACAATGCTTCCATTGTTGTCATTGTTTAATTCTCGTATTTTTTGTAACACATAAGTAGCCTAGTTATTTATTCATGCGTAATTTGGTTTTACTACTCAGTCCAGCCCTGATGCCTTTATTACTTTACAGCCGCTTGTAAATGGAACGATTTAAACACGTGTTGCGAATTCATGTCCACTTAAAGAGACAAAGAGATGAAAACTTTACCCGATAACCGAAGCAAACAACCAAGAAGTCGCTTGAAATAAACTATACCGACGTTTATAGCGAAAGCATTCGCGTCCACATCTCGGACGGTTGTATTAAACTTGTAAAAAGAGCGTTCAGTTCTTACGTTTACTTTGGGGCGTAAAAGTCACCAAAAGTGCAGCGGTGAATAACAATAGTTGAATTTCCATGAGAGAGTTATTCTTTAGTCCCGTGAAGAGGTGCACTGCAGGTTTATGTTAATGACTGTGTGTGTGTGTGAGAGAGAGAGAGAGAGAGAGTGTGTGTGTGTGTGAGTGTGCGCGCGCGGGGGGAGAGACGCGCACACTCGGAGCCATTTTGTCCTCATTTAAAACTTAACGTGGATAATGTCACTTGGCTCCATGGATACCACCTCGATAAACTGTGTTTTCTGCTGTTAAAAAGCTACAATGAAGGATAGAAGAAGGTCGACGTGCCGGCAGAAGGAGAGCTGACGTGTTTTCTGCCTGTTTGCGGAGTTTTACACCATGGATCTTGTAATGTGTTGGTTATTATGGGTTCACCTTCTCCTCTGCGCTCCTCTCATGGGATGTTTCGACTTGCACCTCTCGGAGACTTTACATTCAGGAGCTGTTCTTGCCAATTTGTCACTGGGACCGGGCTGGACTTATAAAATAGACTGGACTTTAACTTCCAAGTACATTGGGAACTTTATTAAAGTAGATTGGAGAGATGGAGTGGTGCGTTTAAATGGAGAGGTGGACTGTGCGCGCGCCCCGCACAGCGCGCTGCCTCTTTATTTCAAAATCAAATCATTAACAACTGAAGGACTTGTTAAGACACATTTTAATGTATTTCTACACGGGCAAAACTGCGTGTTCAAATTTAAAAGGAAGAGAGAGACCAAGCCTGATATCAACGTGAACTACATTTATAATTCAGGACTAACTTCCTGCTTGTCTCCAGGTGATTTACTCATTCATTTTGAGGATTATTTGCCTGTCTTCACAAGAAACTCTGCTGTTTTTGCTTCTTCTTGCACCTCAGACCAACTGAATGTGTTTGTGCGTAACGGGACTTTACTTGTGAAGGACGCGTACTGTTTGGAGACGAACTTGGGGCGCTTTAAAAGCACAATTCGCTGCTCGTTTCTCGATTCTAAAGGTGAGCCCTTCTCTGTGTGCCTTAAACTACGATTCACCTCAGACCAAACTTCATTATCATATGTAACAAATCCAAGAAAACAGAGAATAAAGCGAGCCGCGAATTCAGTGCCTCAGTTTCAGTTATCGAACTACCAGGTTTCAGTGCCCGAAAACGAGCCTGCGGGGACGCGCGTCATCACTCTCAAAGCGACTGTCAGCGACCCCGGTGAAACTGGAAAGATTGAGTATGGAATGGAAGCGCTTTTCGACAGCCGTTCTAACGATTTCTTTCGAATAGACCCTCAAACTGGCAGCATCGAGACTGCCCAGCCCTTAGACAGAGAAGTTAAAGACACTCATGTGTTTAAAGTTACAGCTTCTGTTGCAGGTTTTGCCAAACGTGCAGCCACTTCGTACCTCACAATAACAGTGAGTGACACCAACGACCACGGGCCCGTTTTTGAGCAGAACGAATACAGGGTGAGGATACGAGAAAACGTGGAAGTTGGTTTTGAGGTCATTACGGTCAGGGCAACAGATGGGGACGCTCCATCCAATGCAAACATGATATATAGGATTATGAACGAGGAAGGTGTTAATTCTGGGTTTGAAATTGATTCTTGGAATGGACTGGTCAAGATTAAGGTGCGTCCAGACAGAGAAACTATGGCCCAGTATCAGCTGATTGTAGAGGCCAGTGACCAAGGTAAGGAACCTGGGCCCCGCAGTGCTACTGCGACAGTTCACATCACCGTTGAAGATGAAAATGACAACTATCCTCAATTTAGTGAGAAAAGATATGTGGTCCAGGTGCCTGAAAACGTGGCCGTTAACACTAAAGTAGCCCAGGTAGAAGCCACAGATCGAGATGAAGGCAATAATGCTAGGGTCCATTACAGTATAATCAGTGGCAATGTAAAA